TCACTTCTCGAGGCCTAATGGTGGCAGAGACGTGGTCTTGTCTTCGCGCTTAAAGAAATAAAGCAAATTCGGCATGACTTCAAGTCCTTCGAAAAGTAGCTCGTAGTCTTCGGTCATGATACTTGACACTTGAATGGCACGTCCTCACTGGTTGTGCGAGCCTCAGTATAATGTCCGTTTTTCGGAGATTTGCTGGTTAGGCCAATGTGGTTCCCTGGAATCCCGAGGTCAGCCTGGCCAAAGTCTGTTTCAGGCCTTCACCACCACAGGCAATCGCAGACCTTGCAGATCAAAGGGAGATTTGCCACTAGTATTGGTTTACTCTTAGCTGGGCTTTCTGATGGAAACGCCGGACTCCTTCTCAGCTTGGGAGACTTACGACGAAGATGAATAACCCCGCTGTACATCGTAGCCAGACACCCAGGAACTCCTCCCAGCCACGATGAGGCGGTAAACCGTTGAGAGGATTTTCGGTCTGGTCTTCTTTAATCTGCCAGTCATGCTTGGATAGTGCTTCTTTCAGAATGTTTTCATCACATACAGCTGCACCTTTTTTGTGGTCGATAACCTGCAATCTTTTCTAGTTTGCGGCTAAATCGAAGCTTTGCTCGAAGGTGCTCGTGAAAGGCCAAGCAGAGAATGATGGAACTACCGATGTGTGAAGTAGGCTCCATCATTTGTTTGTCAGTACATGATCGATTTCCCATTAGTTGTTCGGTTAGGAGAATCCCATGTCCATTAGCGGGTTCTGTTCTTCTGAAAAATCCAGGTTCCTCGAAGAGGCGTGGTGTGGACAGAAGTCTTGCAAGATGGTTCCCATTCTCATTTTCTTTCTCCCAATCTAATTTTTCTGATCCTGTATTGGCTCTTGTTGGCCTTTCGTACTCTAGCATTAAAGTCTCCTACAACAAATTTGTAGTACGCGTTGTCATTGTGGATTACTTCCTTTAACCATTGCTAAAATGCATCTAATTCGTACTCACCAGTTCCATCGTTCGGTGAATAGTAATTTATGGTAGGGATCCTTTTATGACGCGTTGGTTGCACACAGAGGACGACCATGCGAATGGAAATGTTCTCGTGCTAGTCGAAGAGGTGGGGACGACAAAGCCTGCGCCACCGGCATTTAGTGAAGGTATCTTTCCTCCGTGAATAAGAGCGGTCCCCTTGCTTAGTATGTCTCTCTTCCTTCCTTTTGTTCCCAGTTGGGCGATCACATAGAATTTGATACGAGCTGCGGCTTCAAGAATGACGTGAAGACCGGCGTCTAAGGAGAGTGGTCTGTTACGATACGTGCAGAGTATGAAACAATCCTCATGGCATGACGCATGTGTTCCATCAAACCCGGTTCCAGTGACAAACTGTGTAACGCGAGATTTTTCAGCCTCTCACTGGGCGTTTCGCCCGCCTGACATCGTAGACGGTGGTACTCAGTGTGCGAAGACTAGGCTGTTGCTGCTTTTGGCAATTTGGTCTTTCCTGGAGTCCTACCTTGACCTTGCAAGGGCGTTTTCACGTTTTCACCGCGATAAGGATCGAAGGCGTGACAATTCTTTCGTTTGGCTTTTCTGCCGTTTATTTCAGAAGCCATATCAAAACGGAGATCAAGAGTGAAAACACCAATGAAAAAATGACCGCCAGTTCAATAGCGATATTAAAATCCTAAGAACAAGACGATGATGAACTTAGTTATTTGAGATAAGAAGTCTTTGTTTCTGTTCGACGATAACAGTTATTGTAAGGATATGAAGATTATGTTATTTCCTAAGAATCGTTAGAAAATAACTTTGACATTCAAAACTGATCGTGTTTGCAAAAGAAAGCGCAAAAAGACTGTTGGTTTATTGTTTAGATCGTAAGAGATGCACAAGTCCAGTATGATCCGCATGCGTTCGGTACAGCAAACGCGCCTGGAGTACTGAACGATCACCACTCATACTTTCTGCTGGCAGACAATGGCACTAGCTCGAGGTAGGTGACTCCGAAAATCACCTCTGTGCTAGATCTATCGCTTTATCGGATCGTACTGATCTGAGAAAGAACGCTGTTTACTATTTCGATTGTAAAGGTGATATGTTATTCTATAACCTACCATTATCAATTAAAGAGCGCGTATGGCACAGTGGTTGGAGGCGCCACTGCTTCACACACGTGGAATCGACCCCCTCTCCCATGGCCCACCAAGTCTTCCATCTCTCCAAGGTCGGTAAATCCGCACCGGACTTGTCTGCGAGAATAACAGCACTGGCTCAATAAATCGGTAGGCCACCGCGAGTCATTGTAAAGGCCAGATATGCATTCAATCACCTCTAACGATGCTTAATAAAGTCGAATGCATTGGCGCATCCCTCAGAGATTGATCAACGCCGAGAGCTTTATGCTTTAACCTTTACCATTATCAATGAGACTTAACTTACTTAACTTTAACTTAAGGCCTGACATCTTTTTAAATAAGGCGTATGTAGTGCTTCAATCATGTATTTATCTCAATTAATTGACTTTTTGTCCCTATGTCGAAGTCACACCTAATACCCTACCGTGAAAAATTGTAATAGGCAATGGATAAAAAAGTTAACATTGTGATTTAGACCACAGCTCCAGCTTAACTGGGTTCAATGCCGATTTGGAATACTCAGATCAATCCCGTTGACGGGTGATTGCTGATGGCCTGATCGATAGAACTAGCTGAAAGACAGCCGAAACGAGGACTCGCATTCTGTGGTGGTGAACGTGTTAGCCCTCGAAAACGGTAATAGCGCGTTCGTTCCCCACCGCAGACACCTGCGGTCCGTAGTTTTGCAAATATCTCAGCGCGTCTCAGCATCATCGTGGTTGAGCCACACCTAATACCCTTCCGTGGAAAATTAACACTGATTCACATGTCTACTTGAAACTTGAATGGCCCGTCCTCACTAGTTGTGCGAGCACCAGAATAACCTCCATTTTTCGGTGATGTGCTGGTTAAGCCTTTGTGGTTCTCTGGAATCTCGAGGTTGGCCTGGCCAAAGTTTGCTCCAGGACTTCACCACCACAGGCAGTCGCAGCCCTTGTGGATCAGAGGGAGATTTGCCACCACACGACTTTGATACCAGGACGGTGGTGGATCCTGGTATTGGCTTACTACAAGCCAGGCTTCCTGATAAAAACGCCAGACCTTTTCAGCTTCGGACCTGCCAAGGAATGAGTCCACCGCTGTACGTCGCATCCGTGACCCAGGAACACCTTCCACCCACGATGAGGCGGTAAACTGTTGGGAGGTATATGTCTACGAGTTGTGTAATCAGCAACTATAATAGTCTGCAAAGAATTTAAATCCTTTCTTACCTACAGTCTTATACGGCCCCAATAGTAGAATCCCAACATCAGAAAGGTTAGATATGATCCAAGAACATGGGAACAGAAAGGATTAAGGATAAAGCGTTCGGCGCTGATCAATCCCTAAAGACTGCGTCGTGCGTTCGACTTCATCAACTCATAACGCCCCGTTACAGTATTTCCAAGTTGGCCCAACCGTTCACGAGAACTTTTTGTCAGCTAAGGACTCTGGTTTTTCAGCAATAGAAATTTTTTTCTACGTAAGTAGAAGACTTGAAAGGTGTTGAACACAACAAGATTTTAGAAGAGACTGCTCTATCGTTTTATGGGCATGAATGATATGCATGATACTATTTACTATGCGTTACTATGGTCTTTTATTCAAGCATATTGCTGCCAGCATTTGGAGGTATTCTCCAGAATGCATAGATGGCCAGTACAGTGTCTTGTTGTGGCTTATCTATGTATCACTTCGGTGCCACTATCCTCCAAGTAAGGCCGCTACCAATTTACCGATTCTGGGGAGATGGAAAGCTCAGTGAACAAGGGGTGTGGGATCGATTCACTGACCACAAGTATATCGCAGAGTACCTCTAACCACTTCGCTAGTGAGAAAGGCATAGCATATTCGCGACAGTTGAAAATACAAGGAAAATGTGTGAGAGGAGCAAGTAGTAAAGGGAAATCACAAGAAACCGGTACACGATGCATTCAGGGAGAGCTTATTGACTATATGTATTGATTTCGATATGCATTTTGATTGTGCTTCACTGAGGCTTGGTCCAGTGGGCTTGCCATGCTATGTTAGCTTCAATCGCAAACGCAAACGCAAAATAAAGTGCTTAAAGTGAAAGCTGGGATATTATTACAGTTTTGGCGGTAAATGTACTAAATCCACCTTTACCAATCAATGTGTGTATAATAATGCGTAAGTGATAGAGGGTATTCCGAATGAGGTGGAGAACTCTTTATGCTACGGTAAATTTCAGATCCTCTGTCGACGGTTAATACAAGAGATCCCACCGGTTCACTCTCGATGAGCAGTTAACCGGAAAAAAGCTTAATTCATTTGCTATTCTCGTCTGATTGAAACATATACAATCAGTTTTTTACGAGTTTGATTGTTATTTAGCGCGTGACGCCCATGTACAGCTGTCTGGGCTTTAAACGTGGAGACTAGGTTCACTCATGGGTAGTTTCCTAGTCTTTCCCACTGTAAACGGAGGAGCCGATTTGTTTCAGGCGATTCCTAACCACCTGCTGTATACTTCTCTGTCATTTGGTTTCAGGGTTTTGGCCAAATTGACTCGTAGAATACAACCCGCCTAAACGACCCACTCACGCGTGGATGAATACGCTTCACGAATACAGAAAGTATGTGCCAAATCGGGGCAAGCTGAAACAGGACTCCATCCCCTGAGTGCACCTGCGTCTCAGGGAAGCCTATGGTCGCTTTTGCTCTGCAGCTAACCCCATGTCCAACACCTGTGGAAGCGCCACGTAGCCTTGTGATAAGCCGGCACAAGATCTCTATGAGGGAGATTGAAAGCTAAATACAGCAAAATAAACGGGCCTCATTCGCTTCACCTCGAAAGAGCCCCGATATGGCCACTTTAGTCAGGACGAGTACGGAGAGCCTGCTAAGATCTCAAAGGCATTCAGGGCTGTCTAAATCGCAAAGGGCTATGGTGACAATCTATGCCTACAGTACACGCTCGCTTACATTTGAAACATGGATAGGAGATTTGGTCATGCAAGCAAGAAATATGAGTTATGACGTGGTCGGACTGGGTCAGGCAAGAAGATACCACCCATTCATCGCCGTATATGACTGGAGAATATGGATATATGGAGATATGTATATGATGTTGAGAAGATGGACATATATGGAGAACGGTTCTTGCAAATATGCGACAGTTGAGGGGGTGGCGGAGTCGGTGATCTCGTCATCACGAGTTTGGCCAACAGCACCGATTCGTTCCAACAATTAACACCCGGATGGGACGTTTACGATTGAACAAATGTGGATTAATACCGGCCTTAAAAACCTTCGTTGTCTACGGATCGACATTAGGCTGGTATGAAGACGAAGTTGAAGCGTTCTATTTGGACCTGGAGAAGTTCTTCAGAAAATACCAAACATTCTTTAAGGTCATCATTGATGATTTTAACGTGAAAGAAGAACTCGGAAAAACGTCTGAAGACGTCACATTGAGATTTACGGATTAGAAGGGAACAAGCAGGGTCAGCGGCTGCCAAAGTTTATCATCGTGTTAAAGAGAGTTTATGGTAGCTCTCAATTCTGAAAGCTCCGCTCTCAACACTGGATGTTGTTGTCTACCAACAGAGAGTACCGCAACGAAAGAGATCAAATCATAGTAAATCGAGGATTCTGCCTAACCGATGTCACATGGCCTTCTTTGTGCAAAATTTCATTTCTCGTGGAGAGGTGAAAAACCCGCAAAATTCAAAAGCGATTTCTGAAAACTAACATAAACTGAGATTATTCAGCTCACTAGTCCGCTGTTGGGAAGTACGCTTTTTGAAAACTTCGACGAGGAATATGATCGGCTCGTTTAACATCTTCACGTACGCACTACGAAAGATGAAAGTTCGAAATTCACCATGGGATGTCTGCCTCCACAAACATTCGACCTGATACGCTAGTATAGAATTGTACGAGGTGGAGGCAACCGCCATCTCATACAAGAACTTTCGAAACAGTGCAGACAGGCGATAAAAGAAGATCTCAAAGAGAGAAGAGCAGCAGTTATGGTCGAAGCTGCAGGGGGTGGGATAGCATTCGCGAAGGCCACCAAAGCTTAGCCAGCTACAAAACCAAGATTACTGCACTGCGACACCCAGACAGAACAGTTGCAGGATCCAGAAAGACAATGGAGGAAATCATTCACGACTATTGCTTGGTTCTCTTCAACAGCGAAATCCTCCTGTTTTCTTCTTAAATAAAGGATGATATGTGGTATTTGGTAAGCAGTCGAACAATACCAGTCTGAACTGGACATACCCTGAACACCTGAAGAATCTTCCGCTAGTCCTCACAAACACAGCGTCGGCTCTACACATGTTACCTGTCGGGACGCAAAGTTCCTATTTAATGGAAGATCAGCAAGACTATATTATTGTTCAAGAAGATGGACCACCACAATATCGACAACTATCGCCTAGTCTACTTGCTGTCTGTCGTCCACAAACTTTTTACTCGAGTGGTCCTAAACAGGATTGAGGGAACACTGGACGAAGGACAGCCATGTGAGCAAGCAGGGTTTCGAAAAGGATTTGGTACGATGGTCCACGTCCACACGGTAACAAGGTTCATTGAAGTACCGCGAGAGTACAAAAGACCACTTTGCCTCACATTCATCGATTTAGGAAAAGCTTTTGATTCAGCTGAGATAGAAGCAGTCAAGGAAGCCGTCGACAACCAGGGGTTACCTACTCGCTGTATAAAGATTTTTCGTGAGCTATATAAAAATTTCGCAACCAAAATTTCACTATTCAAGTGCGATATTGGCATGGACTTCGGAAGAATGGTCAGGAAGGCGATAATACCTCGCCAAAATTATCTATCGCCACCCTTTAGAACGTGATGCGAACATTGGAATGGGACAGCATGGGAATGAAAATCAATGGTCGGAAATTATATCATACTCGCTTTACTGATCACTTGATTCTTATGACGCTAAAGATTAGCCAAGTGTAATGTATGCTTTGCGAGTTTGACAAAGCCTGTGGAAAGATTGGTTTCCGACTAAATCTCGCAAAAGCGTTGTTCATCAGGAAAAGGAGAATAGGAGGCGATTTTCGTTATGTATGTCCATTCACGCTCAACGGAATTAATATCTCCGAATGCTCCATTTACGTTTATATAGCTCAAGAAATAAATATGATAAACGACTTAGCTCCAGAGCTGAGCAGAAGGAAACGGGCGGATTGGGGACTTTTCAAAGTATTGAAGATGTACTGAAAAGAACAATGAACATCCAACTCCATGCCCACCTTTTCCACTCAACGTCAACAATGCTCCCTGCCTTAACGTATGCGTCAGAAACCTGGTCGCTGCGTAAGCAGGATGAAATCCAATCACTCAGCATTATCGAACGCGCACTCGAAAGGACGACGCTAAGTATATCATGTATCACGCAAGTGGTGGAAGGCAGGCAGAACTGCGGAACTTGGTGAGATCACCACTGTGTTGTATATTATAACGATGTGATCAAATAGGTAATGGTTAATGTGATCACCACAAAATCTTCACTGCTATATGATAAAGGATAAAGCTTTAGGCGTTGATCAATTTCTGAGGGATGCATCATGCATTCGACCTCATCAAGCATCGTTTGCAGGTGATCGAATGCATATCTGGCCTTTACAATGACTCACGGCGGCCTAACGATATATCGAACCAGTGCTACTATCCTACCAGACAAGTCTGGTAGAAATTTGTAACCCCGGAGGGATGGAAGGCTTGATGGGCCATGGGCGCGGGGATCGATTCCACATGCGTCTTGCAGTGCGCCGCCGACCACTGCGCCGCACGCGTCCTCACCTTCACTGCTAACAATATTTGCTTCTTTTATGGCTAGTAATTTTCCCTTTTGTTGCATTTTTGTGAAATGATATATATTAAAATAATTTGTATATAATGGTGAGATATTTGCAAAACTCCGGACCGCAGGTGTATGCGGTGGAGAACGAACACGCGCTGTTGTCCTTACCGGGGAGCAGCGCACTTCACCACCTCACCATCCGGGTCCTTCGTTTTGTCTGTCTCTCAGCTAGTCGATAGAACTATTCGATAGAACTGCTTATTATATTCGATGCTTGGAGTTGTAAGAATACGATGTTCAAGAATTCTACACTTTTTCACAAACAACTTTGCCATTCACTCTTCAGAAAAGACATGTCTATTTATTTGTACTCTGCCGTTAAGCCAACTGTCTGACCAATAGAGGCGAAAGCAATCGATATAATTCAATTTCAGGTATGGTGCTGACTTGCATCTTAGGCAAAATTTGGAGAACTTTTTGGCGGATCGGGCCAACGGTGACGGATCGCAGAAAGTACCGGTGGTTTGTGTGGTGTTGGAAGGTGGAACGACTTCGTTAACCGCTGTACACCAGTACCTCACTCAGTACGTAGTAACGTTTTTACTTTATGTATAATCTGGGGTCCTCCTAACGGTTTACCGCGTCGTCGTGGCTGGGAGGTGTTCCAGGGTGCCGGACTGCAATGCACAGTGAGGGATTCATTCCCGGAAGGGTCTCCCAAGCTGAGAAGGAGTCCGGCGTTTCTATCGGGAAGACTAGCTAAGTGTAAACCAATACCAGGATCCACCACCGTCTTGAAATTCGTATGGTGGAAAATCTACCTCTTATCCACAAGGGCTGCGACTGCCTGTGGCAGACTTTGCCCATGCTGGCCTCAGGATCCAAAGAACCACATTGACTTAACCAGCAAATCTCCGAAAAGTGGAGATTATGCTGGGGTCCGCACAAGCGGTGAGGACGGGCTGTTCAAGTATCGAATATCAGGCAAGTAATCTGGGATGTCATACGTGAAGACGTGCGAGTGTGCCTTTATCGCTCTTTATGGAGCTATGGAATCGACTGCCTGCTTAGGATTACACTGAATTTTACACATCGCATCTATTTCATTAAAATATTTGATCCACCTTCAGTTACTTTTCAATAAGGTCACGATTATCGTTATCGTCGGATGCTTAGAACATTTCAGTATTTAACTACGTAAGTATTCAGTGCTATTGAAAGTCATCCACCTTTGTTAAGGGAGCCGAACATTCCAGTGATCGTCTGCGACGGTAGTGGCCGAGCTTCGGATCTCCTTGCTTTTGCCAGCCGATATTTGGACGCTGACGAGTTCGTTTGATTTTTCTCGTTTCATCTTTAAAGGTGCTCTGAAGCTGACCTAAAGTTAAACATTTTTTAACGCAATCCTGCGCAGCTGGAATGGTAGAAGACATCAGGAGAGCCTGGAAACAATATTCTCTACTCTTCTTAGAGAAGGATTACTACTTTCTTGTTACCATTCTAAGCTTCTGGAAGCCATGTATGCGATGCTTACTGGTTACCTAAAGAGCCCCATTAGCTGAGATGATAGACCGGCGGTAGCCACCTCGCATAGTACATCCTACTAGGTGTTTGCCACACCTGTGGCAGTGCACGTCGAGTTCTATCTAAGCATGCCTAAAAATGGGTATCTTTTTCAATTTCAAACAAGCACATTTCTCAACTGATATTGAACTTTATTGAATGAACTAATACCCATAAGCAAATTCAGATCTCAGCCAACAACGTGAAAATCCACTTCTAGCACGATGAATTTGTAATTCTTGAAGCCCAGCGATCATTCCTTCCTGCTTCTTGTCACTGAAGCTCGTTTCTAAAACAGGGCTCAATTGAAGAATTTTGTTTATCTCTTTTCAGAATATCTATGGAAACTAAATAGATCGAATCGATTTATGTAGAGGAGTTTTTTTGCAGAAATACTTTTTTGTTACAATCTCGCGCAGTGGTAGTGATATCCGTCATCACGAGCATGGTGCTACTTCGATTCCGCACTGAGCCAACCAAGCCTTTCATCCCTCCAGGGTCGGGAAATTGGTACAAGTTTCGTCTGAAAAAAAATAACTCTCTGGAGTCTAACTGGGAACGCTGCAGCCCAACTATCTCAGGACTCCAGAGAGAATTGCTCTACCAGCATTCTGCGACATTCAAGATGAAGTGACAATTCTCAAGCACCAACCGAAGCCACACGTAAAGTTGGAAGATCTTCGTGGGCAGCGGATACGACGAATGTGAGGAGTGCTGGGATTCGCACGATAGACGTTTAAAGGGTCATACAAAATAAAAAAAAATAAAATCTCGCGCAGTCTGTTCGTATTCGTTAGCCATCTGTTTCTCGAATAGCTTCAAGCATTCACACTGTCCCATGCTTAATATTCGTTTTTTTC